CCCAGACCACGGGAACGGCGAGGACAGCAATCTCGCCAGGTCTGTCTCTGTCGCCACAGGGCTCAACAATATGGTGAAGAGACCACGTGTGCGCACCATCTTTCCCCATACTGCGGGCAACAATAACACACTGCTGAGCTTTGAAGAGGGAGACGTCATTGTCCTGCTCATCCCTGATGAGAGAGACGGATGGATGTATGGTGAAATGGAGAAGAATGGAAAGTGAGTCTAACTACGTGTGATGAATTTATACAGACCAGATATGTGATATGAAAAAATTATAATCACAGATATGGGGGAAGGCTTGTGCACACACTGTGCTGTACATAGGGGCCCGATTAGATCTGTGACACATGCAGTCACTGTTGAGATGTAATTCAGCTGGCTTTAAATGTCTTTAAATCGTAACAAGAACTCTGTATCATCATCACCTTCTTCCTACTGCCTCTGTCAAAAATTCATGCCGTATTCCCGTGTTTTTCTAAGAATCAGGTGATTAATAGGAGGTGGAATTCTGTCTTAACTGGCCAGATGGTCCCTCGCCTGATTGCTAGGCTGACCATGTATGAGCACACACAGCTCCAGGTTTGTCAAGTGATGCCTGTGCTGGAGAAGTCACTGATAAGGAAATCAAAGTAAAATATGGCCTGAGGGTGGGATGTACAATAGCAGACTGGAGTGAGGTGGAGGGAGAAGTTCAGAGTACCACCTGCTCCCCCACACAGATAGGCACCAACTAAGTCCACTCTCCCCAGGTCTCTTGTGCGTGACTTTTTAGACAAGGATTTGATCTGAAGCCCTTGAAAATGTGTTTTTGAATTTTAATCATTCATCGGGTTTGATCTTTATTGCTTTCAAGGGAAATTACATTACAAATATACCCAGAAAGATTGATCAAGGGCATAAAAGAATCATTTCTGAGTAGCTTTCAAAAATGAGGCTAACACAAAGTAAAACTTTGGTCTTGATGCCTCGCTGCTGCAGGTGGGGCGAGCTGAAGCGCCTAAAGGCTTAAAAAGTGTATATCGTCATGTTTATCAGAGCACAGCATCAGACAAGATGGGCTTCATGTTCCACAGGCGGTTCGGCTTTGATGCTTTTGGTTCTCTCGCTGGGCTTCTGCCTTTGTCTCATATCTGCTTTGATACTGTATCCCAGCAACTCACCAGGACTGTTTCAGATATGGACTCTATTGATGGACTGAGAGATTGAATTCCAGCAGGACTGAGAAATTTAATTCCAGGGAGTGAAAAATCTACTGATAATAGAGCAATATTTGTCAAATAATGACATTTGACTTCTGTGTGTCCATTTTATTGGCATGATTCCTAAAAAAATTATTCAGTCACAATCATTAGAGTTGAGCTTTCTTTTCCAGGAACAGCTAGTAGTGTACACTCTTGACAATCGGTACTTGTAAACTGTCCTTGACTGAAATCAAGTAGTCTCAGTGGCTAGCGTTAATAGTTATGGTTGAAACAAGCACGGGTTCTCTGTGGAAACTTTTCCTTAAATAAACAAAAGCAGTTATTCAGTGTGACTGGGTGAAATTCATTTTCCAGTAGGTCCTGACTCTTTACTTTTTTTTTTTTTTTTATTGCAAGTACACTGAGGAAATACCTATTCTTCAAGTTAGTGCAAATATTAACACCCATTCACACAAAGGGAGGGGTAGATTGATCAAATACTGATTAGGAGCAATCTTTCTGCATAATAGTACAATGACGGGGAGTCCTTGGTCTGAACTTGGGATAGGGAGAAGCTGCTTTTTTTTTCTTTTTTTTTTTTATTCAAATGTGTTTCAGAACTGAAGTAATCCATTTTTTAATATTAAGGTAAGAAATGTTTAGCATAGCGTTTAGAAATTAATGAATTTTTTTAGTCTTTCATTATGTTCTTTGGAGTCAGGTTTCATTTAGACATCTGTGTGTGTGTGAGGGGGCTCAAACTGTTGCCTTGAAACCTCACAGGTCTCTGAAATCAGTCACTCAGTCGTGACTCATTTATTAAATCGGTGAAAATCAAATTCTTTCCGCACAAACTCTATGTTCCACCTCGACGGGTTCAATAGAAGACTTTGTCCACAAGATCTTTTCTTCATTTGCGTCATCGGTTTCCTTTGATGGAAAATAACCTGTCTCAGCCTGAAATCTTTATTGTCAAAGATGAAATCCTTCAAAATAAACCAAAACTGTGATTGAAGTTGCACCCTTTAATGCTCTCCCTCTTTGCAAATAACAAGTGACAGATTCAACCTGTTTGCTGGCATAGTCGCCTTAGGCATACAGTCAGACTGTGTATACAACAGTAAAGGCAACTGCAATGGATCCTGCTCCTTTATCTGGTTTCTGTATCTTCTTGATAAGAGATGGAGAGAGCCGCTCAGGAGAGGGCAGTGCAGGCAGGCTCTTCACCAATCACTTGGAGAGTCCCTTCAATTGAGCTGATAACGACCGCTGATGCAATCCTCTCTAAGTTGCCTGCTGTGTTTCTTTCTTTTAGGAGGGGCTGGTTCCCTTCATCTTACTGCCGTGCTCTCACTGAGACACTCGTGAATAACAGGTAAGGAGAAGCCACATTCCAGCTAACACACACAGACCTGCAGGTGTCATATTGCAGCCAGCTCTATTGTTGGAAGTATTTCCTCTAGTTGGCCCGCTTGACGTGATAATCTTTACAGTTCTGTGAGGATTTTCCCATTCCTTAACCTTTGAGTCCTGCTGTTAAGCATTCTGTCTTCATTTTTATTTCTGTTATTTATTCATTTATCTATTTAAATGATGCTTGTGTTGTTCCTGACATAATAAATGTTTCAAAGCCTCTGATAAAATGTAAGTAATTTGTGATCAAATGATTCATGTGGAGCCCTCTTTTTTCCTTTCTTTTATTTAATGAATCAAAAATGATACTTTTCACACGAGCCCAGCAAAATATCAGGAAACAGGATGCTGTTTGCTGATGAATAGATTTTGCTGCTGATGAAAGAGAGAGAGAAAAGGTTCAGAGTCGACTCCAGGCTTTTTCTTCAAAGAGACTAATCCCTGTTGGATTAATTTATTAGATCTTAATGTGCGGCACGTCCCACAGAGAGGCTGCCAGCCAACTACTACCACCACTCCCGGAAAGTGAAAATTTAAACTATAACCAGAACCTGGGGACAGAACACACAGACATCTACATCCCTCTTCTTTTGTCCATATTAGGAATTTCAATTAGCCACATTCAATCTGTATCGCTTGACGTTTAACGTCAACATTTAAGCTGGCAACCCTAACCCATGATGCAGCCGCTAAAAATGAAAATGCAATACTCACATATGCCTGGAGACTCACTTGTGATGAGTTTCATTATGTAGCTACTTAATTTCTTCATTTCTTTGACCATCTTTCTTTTACCATCTCTTATACTGCCCTCCTCTTCCTCTCCAGTGAGCCCGCCGCCCCGTACCGCAGCAGAAGTGTGGTTAACCTCCACCACCAGGACACGGAAACAGACGAGGCAACCATGGTTCTCCCCCCAGCAGATTACAGCGACATCCCGCAACGCAGCACAAACAACAACACCTCGTCTGCCACAAATAGCAATCACCATCACTCCCCCACGCCCTCTGTAGCCTCCTCGTCTGATCACAGCACGGTCAGTTGGCGATTTGGTTTGTGCGCTCTTCTTTGTCTGACATGTTGGTGTTTTAAAAAGAGAAACACCGAGTCTGGTAGACTTAAGGCGTGACTTAAAAAAGCAACTGATTTGATCTTAGATCAGGTCTGCGAAGAGTTTGACCAGCATACTGTCATAATGTTGTGATATAACTGGCACTATGAGGCTAAATCTCACATTATACCTGCTGCATAAAGGCTGCTGTACCCTCAACTGTTTTTACTGCCAGTGACAGTGCGTGTGTATGTAGGTGGTGTCAGATGAGCTTTTCATGTGTGTCCTGGAAACCTGACCACACTTTAATATAGTGCGAGTGTCGACTGATGTAGACAATGAAGGAAAAAAAAATGTAATTGTTAGGACTCGAGAACAGTTTTACACTTTTGAGCTTTTGAAAAAGTGTAAAATATGGGATTATTTTCCTAATATTTAGTCTTATTTTTAAGACAACGTATGTGTGCCAGCAAAATAAAATTAAAAAATTCCTATTTCCGGGTTGAGAGACACATGTATAAAGTTTATTTAGTTACTGCAAATGTAGGTTCTGATGCACATCCTCTCACAGCATAAGTCTAAACGGGATAAGTAGTAATAGATGCTAAAAATATCCACAACCTGAAATGCATTTTGAATATACACCTTGGTGTTCTGAGGAAATAAAGTAAATATTGAGTCTTAAAACTGACTTTGTGTCCAAAGTTGTAGTCCCACGACTCACCTTCACTCTTTTTTGTGGGTGAGCAGAACACAGCTGTAATGATTGTTATTGTTAGGATAATCTCCAGGGTGCTGATGATGGGTCTCTGGGTGAGGCTGCTCTAGTAAGAGGCATTCACATTGAATTGAAAATTAGGTTTTATCATCTAGGGTGATGGTGCACACATGCCATGCTTTGCCAGAAGCTTTTTTTTTTTTTTTTTTGTATGCAGACAATGTTTTTTAAAATATTAATATTATTTCATCCATCTCTGAGAGTTTTATTTCTTACCTTACCAATGTTCTTACATTTGCATGCCATGCAAAATGGCAGGCAAATTGTGGTTTGGTTCTAGGAAGGCCTTTTTGTTCCCGTCTGCTGGTTGGATGTAAATGCATTGTGGTATGTACGGGTTAAATGCGCATGACCTGTCTGCACAATGACTTACACAAGCTCTGTATATGCTCTACAACCATCTTTACTACACCTCTCTGACATTGCTTGTCCAGATAAATTGTGCATTTAACCTTTCATATTGGTCAGCCACAGTTGGATATGGACTTTGCACATATTTCTTTTCCTGCACATTCACGTTTGTTTACAATGCAAAACGTAGACTTCAAACCTGCACATACACAGAAAAATATCTGCTCAACATGTATTGAATATTCACACGCAGTCATGTTTACTTTAACCTTAACTGTAGCTTGTTTTCAAAGGTCCTAAACATCTTTACTTGTGTGACCCACTTCACAAGATTTCTTATTGCGTTGTCCCTTCAGAATAGATCCTGAACCTGTGAACACATTTCTTGGGGGTTTTTGTTTTGTTTTTTTGATTTTCTAAAAATGACCATCAAAAGTATTTGGTTGTATAATTCTGATATTAGATATTTGACCACTCTTCTTTGTAGCATTTATTTAGTTTGATTTCCTGGCAAAGACCCATCATTTATGCATCATCCACAAGTTTTCCGACCTTAACCATTGGGAAGGTCTTTCTGGAAGCACAGAAAGTACAGATATCTTAGGTTTGTTATTGTGGCCACATAGCTCAATTTTGATCATAAAAACATTTTGCAGAAGCATTTGGCTTGTCCATGTGGGCAGTCAAGCCTGAATGTTTTGATTTTGGAGCAGAGGCTTCTTTCTTGGTCGGCACCCTCTCAGTCAGTTTTGATGTCCTTGGCTTTGACCAATACTCCAAACAATGGGAAATCTAATGAGTGCTGTCAAACAAAATTCTTGTAATGCTCCAAAGACACAACAGTTGTAGTCAATCATAATCCCTAACTTAATACACCTTAACCATGTCAAGTTATCATAGAACTTTCACCACCACTTATTAAAAGATGAAGTGGGTGTATGTATATATTTGAGCCTGTATGTCTTCTTTTGACCTGGTGTGGATTAGAGATGATCCAAAATAAAGCCCAGCTTTTTTTCACCCAATTCTTGTTTTTAAAGTTGTCAAATATGTTGTACAACTATTCCAGCAGTTCCAACAGCTGAAAGAAATCATTAAAAGCCTAAAATGTTCATGACATTAATGCGCATGATGAGTGTGTAACTTCTGACCACAACTGGACATGGAAGATGAGGCAAGCAAACAAAACACAAACAAAATAAACACAAACGCCGTGGCTATTCTGTTAGGTTGATGTTTGACCCACTTAAAGGTCAGGTGGCAAATGGAGATACTCTTCTCCTCCTTGCCTGCATTTATTATTAACCAGTCACTTTGGTCAGGGCCTCAGGCTGACTTACACTAGTGGGACCAAATGTTAGTGTGTGTCCATTGTCAGTTGTATCAGTCTACATCCTGGCTCTGCATTATGGTGGAATTCCACTCTGGGTGAACCCGATATCCACTATCCCTCATTGTCAATTCCTTCCTTCTTTCACTCAATCATCACTCACATATCTGTCTCTTTATCTTTTCATCCTCGTGCCTTTCCTTCCTGCTTTACATGTGTCCCACCAGTTCCAGGATAAACAGGGTTCACTTCCAGGGAAGTTTATTCCTTCCTAGTGACTCACAAACCCTTGCCATAACTTTTCAAAACACAGACATATGCAGGATCCCAGAATAGACTCGCGTGTGGGAAAAAGTTCTCTACAGCTACAGCAGATTATAATACTCGGCGAAAAAGTGGGCGGCTGAGGTTGTGTGTTGGTGTGCGCACATGTTTATGCATGCGTGTAAAGTTAGTTAGCAACTTGGGGCTGGAACATTCATGAATATTATTGCCATAATGATGCATACTGCATCAGTCTGTGTGGTTATCTCAGGTAATTACCTCTGAATAAATTTCGTGGCACTGTTGGTATAAACTAGATGTTTTTCTTGGGTTATTTTTTTCTCTCTCTGCTAGTTCATTAAAAAAAAAATTCTTTTTCTTTTTTTTACATAGCACCATGGCTTAAAGCCTGTTTGTATTTCCACATTCTTTCTCTTGCTTGATGTCAACAAACTGGTTGGAGTCTGTATCAGCAAAGCCTGTTTTCAAATGATGTTGGTTGGTCTAGACAAGGAAAGGTGAGAGAAAAATACAAGAGATGAGTTTAAAAAAAGCACCCTCACTGGTTTGTTTGGGTGTGGGAGAGATAAGATGACAACTAACAGTAATGAATAGAGTGTAGATGCAGAAAAAGCGAGACTATGATCTGAAAGATTGAGATCTACAGAGAAAGTTGAACTGTAAGAGTATCAGGGAAGCCGATACTCATAGCTGACTGAACTCTGTGTTGTCTGCTAGCATATTGTGACTCTGTGTTAGTGCTGGATATATTAAACCTTAATCCAGGACCTGGTTTAAGGGAAGTTCCACAGAATCTTATTTAGAGGGTAAATTATTACTTTTCTTTTAAATAAAGGCTGATCCTTTTTGAAGTCCAGGTAACCAAGTTATGAAACTGCTGGGCCTCTCTGGAAATGAGATGGGTAGCGTCAAGACTGAAGCGCTCTGGTCAGCAATGTCGCTCAATTGGTCCACTACTGACCTCTTGTGGAGTCTGTTGAGTACTGCAGATTGAAGGCCAGAAGGCACGTTAAATCCAGGACAGTGGATGTTACCAGGAAGACGAACAAAAGCAAGCTACAGTTTATAAAACCACTATTGTGTTTAAAAAAAAAAAAAAAAAAATTGCTCAATTACTACTGCTACCTTTACTTTATAGTGAGCAGTAAATTGTGTAGTGTAACATGATCTTATTTATTAAAACAACCAATCACTCTTCGGGGCTATGGAAAATATATTAATTTTGTTGTGTATATTTTAGAGGGCACTACCAGGGCCCACAAAATAGGTAATTATTCCCATAATTGTTCACCCAACATGGAGTTTTGTTTAAAGGTTTTGGTTTCGTTTTGTTTTTTCCAAACTGCAGTGTAAGAAAGTGTGTCACCACATTTAACTTATTAAAAACATATAAACATTTGTGTTTACAATATTTGTGCAGCTGGGGTTCAGGTACATTTTTCTCTATACTGCCAACGTGATCATCATGACTTTTTTGTTGTTTGTTTTCATGCAAAGTCACAAATGTGCAACCAAGAGTTTTGTGATGTTAAGAAAAATATGTTAGTATCTAATAAGGATCCAAATTTTTATTAGATATGAGTAATGATTCAGCTATAAATCTGTTAAAGGAGTTTATGGGTGAACCCTTCCAGGCACCGAGCACCTGTTAAGACACTTGCATTCACCATGGCTTGTCATAAGAAAACTTAGCACGGTTCATTGTGCTACAGACTTGAATTTCCAGCAGATCCAGGTTCCACACACTGTCTTGTGACATGAGGCATTAAATTGTTTTCAGTACGGTGTGTTCAATCCTTCAGCTGTGGAAAATATGTGTTAAATTCTCCTAGAAATCAAACGAGTGTAAATACAAACGCGGCATTAAAAGTGCAAATGTGTCACGGTTTTGTGTTTGGTTGGGCTCGTGATTCGCTTGTGACAGTATACATGTCTGTTTCTCCTCCACAGGCGAGTCAGCCTAATGGCACCGCAAGACCCCCGCCAGCTTTCCTCGCGTAAGTCGCATAAGCATAAGAGCGAGATGATTTGCTTTTCTGTCACTCGGACGTAAACTCATCATCATCTGCTGCATTTTTCACAGGGGAGGGAACCCTTTCGCCACAGTCAGGCTCCGTCCAACTGTCACCAACGACCGCTCCGCGCCAGTCATCTGATCTGTCCACATTTCCACCCACACTCAACTCACACAAACCCTTGTCAAACTTCCTGTGTCATCTTACTGTCCAGCAGCTTCTCCTGATCTGGATGAAAATAAACTCTGATATGGAAGTACTTTGGGACCATTTTGTTTACTGAACAGATCCACATATATTTATGAAACATATATATATATTTTCTATGTCTATTTTTGCCCTTCTGTGGTGTTAAATACTTACCACATTCTGACCTGCACATAAGATATAAATGAATAAAAACGGTCAAAGAGAGTAGTGGAATTATGTTGTTGCTTGTTCATTGACAGAAATGACTGTTAAGAGATCATTTGTTGCCATAGGACGGTGGAAGAAAGTACTGTACAGGACCTCTGCATTTCAACCTCGGGTCCAGATGATTGTTTATGCTTAATATTGATACGATGTGGTACAGTGACTTGTCCTCTTGTGTATATACCTTCATGTATATACATTTGCACAACAGATGCTTTGTCCTTAGCCATCTAGCTTAACTACGGGAGCGTGGAGACCGCACTTCTGCCTTAACGACACAGTCATACTTACTGCGATATGTTGCATTCTTCAAACTGTCCATACAAGATGTTACAATCACCTCATCGTACATTATCTGTGAAATCAGTGCTTCATTGACTACACAAAACAAAACCATCAGCGTGTGCACTTTCCCCCTGACACCCTTTAACAGGAATTGCTGTATGGAAATAAAGATCTATTTCTTCAGTTTGTTGTTTATGTTGATCTGAAAAAAAGTGTGACTTTAAATGCTTTTTCATCTGCATTCATTTATCTGGGAGGGGAAAAGAAGGCAAGAAGTCAAAAATATAGATGGTATTCATTTTTAATTACAATAACATATAAAAAGTAAGAACCTCAATCATTACAGCGTGCGTAGTGTGTTTTCTAAAGCAAGATATATTTGTTTAAATCCCTCCCATCCAGTTATAGATCCTTTTCTTCTGTCGGGGGACAGTTTTATAACATCTGCTGCAATGGAAGACGTAGACGGGGTGATACTGCAGATACAGAGACGTGAACATTCTTGATTGTCTGGCTGGGAGGAATGGTGCACGTTGACTTGTCGCGGAGAGAAAATCCAGATATTATACACATTATTGATAGATTGCTTCAGTTTTTTAAATTCAGCATGCTTCCTTGAAGTAACTCTTAAAGGAGTAGTCTTCACTTTGACTTTGAGTGTCCTCTTAAAGTAAGAAGTCTTACGCAGTTGAGGTTGTAAAGTCGTGGGCATTTCAGATTATATCTACCTGAGGTCTGCATTGGCCCTGGAGAGCGCAACTCAGTAGAAAAGGAAAAAAAAAAAAAAACAATCAGACGTTCAGTGCAAATATGGCCCCAAGAAATGATATCAACAAACAAAAACAGACAAAACTCTAATTCAAGTCCACTGATTCGGGTTTCAGCTGGAACACTTTATATCCAGGGATTTATATTCATCTCTAACATGTTCTGTGTCATTCCACGTGATACAAATAAGGAACAAAAGAACTTCTTAGAAAAAAAAACAAAAAGCTAATTCATCAAAGATCTCGAGTGCAATGTGAACTAAGCACAAGGTTAACCCACAAAAAAAAGGGCCAGGCAAAAACAAAAACTACATATGCCTTGATTAAATGTGACTTGGCAAAACAAAGGAATCTGCTCAGATCCTCAGATAAAGAGCAAAATCGTCGAAAGAAATCATGACTGATGGAATCGAATGATCACTCAGCATGTAGTGAAGGCACTGACAACAGCTGGACACATGTCAGAGTAGATCCTCAGCTCGCGGATGAAAACACATTTCTACACATGCCTCTAATAGAAAATCATGGTAATATCTACGTCGTTTGTTGTATACGTATATTTATATAACATAATGGCATAACAGCAATGTGCAATATTAACAAAAGATAAGAAAACAAAATGAAAATCCTGGATTATCTGTGTGTGTGTGTGTGTGTGTATGTGTGTGTGTGTGTATATGCATGGGAAGCGTGTGAGAGCTGTAGTTTGGTCCCCCTAGCCAAAGGTGGCGCCACAATTGGGACACCTTCTCTGACGCAGTGCAAAGCAGAAGAGGATACCCAAGGGGAAGAAGAAGATGGCACACAGGATCCCCAGGCAAGTGAAGTCATCCTCGAGGACACCAACTCTGTAACACACACACACACACACACACACACACACACACACCAGAAAGCATTAGTGAGGACTGTTTGGATGGGAACTCTGTTTATTTATCTACAACATACATTAGAGCCAAAGCAGTGATTCCAGCCTTTAAAATATTTTATTTATCTTATCAGCCAACTCGACCTACACCTCGATCTGATTTTTTTTATCCTCTGTGAGGATTTTCTGACGAGTTCTGACCTTCATCACATGCTTCAAACAACATTTTCCAGAACACTCGTCTCTCTCCAATTACCTCTCGTACGAGCAACGCCTGATGCTTTGGGCTAAAAGGTCATCAAGAAGAAACTGTTCAGTTGGCGTTTGACCTCATTCTTGAAACAGAAGCTCTTTACTCATCTGGTTCAATATTATAACTAATAAACTCAAAGGAAAATCTTAGAAACAAACAATCAGACAAAGTGTCAGATTGCCGTCCCTTATTAGACTCTTTGATTTATAACAAGAAAAAAAGAAGAAACAAAGATTAATAATCTATAAATATTGCTCCTAAAATAAAGTAACTTGCATTTCCGTTTGACCTATCGTGCGATGTGCCACGTCATGGGTGTTTGCACAACTTATTTGGACACTGGTACCAGGAAACGGGTCGTCGCTGACCCCAGCAACATGGCCACAAATGCTGACTAAAACTGCGTCAGTGTTTTTCAAAGTCTTCCGAATGTCCGACATACTGCTGGCAGACTAAATATGTTTGGTTGTATGTCGACTTTTAAATGATAAAGTGCCACACAGCTGTGCGTCATTCTGATTTTAGGAAGTGGAGAAACTTTCAATAGAAAAAAAAGAGTGAAGAAGAAAATTAGTTATTGTTAAGTATTTATGGCATTTTTAGCTACTTAGTAAGTCGAGTCAATCAACCACAATCTCCTTGAAATACGAATACATTACTTCATATTCCACTAAGTTGCAAAGCTGAGAAAAAACACATCAGAACCGCTTTTTTATTATTATTTGCAATATTCTGATCTGAATTTGATTTGCTAATCATTCAAATGGGTCAGAAACTTAAAAATATATCTATTAAAAAAAATGACTGTTTTTGGAGCTTATATGAGCTGCTTTCTCTTTAAGATAGCCGCCTCTTTTGGTTGTGCTGCAGTCATTTCTAATTTCAGTCACATGCTGGTTCTAGGTTAGTACCCAATTTTATTTTGTTCTCCTTTTTCTAGATTATGTTTAATAAATGTGTGGATCTCACTTCCCGTAACAGGCTGGTGACAACAGCTTTCAGAAACCACTGCGTTCTCATTTTAGTAATAATTTATAAATAATCCTGTTGAACTTGAGAAATTTAAAACTATACAATTAAGTCCCTAGAAATGAAATACTGTACATTTTATTATTCAAATTCAGAGTCCATCTCATTTCCATTTGATATTCATGTGAACTGTGCGCTTCAGTCACCTTTGCCCCCATCACATGTCTGAGGCTGAAGTCACCTGACTCTCAGTCACAGTGAAAACAACATAAAACCATCAGCCGTAACTGAAAGTCATATCTTCTTAAAGTTAGATAAGACTTCAGGCCTGGTGGGAGATGTGTCAGACTAGTGAAAATAGAAATGCAAAATAACCGCATGGGATAAACACGTTTTAAGACGTGCGCATTCAGACCATAACTGAGCCCCAAAAGGAACCGCTCTCAGAAACCAGGTTAACCACGGTGAGCACATGACACTCCACGTGCTAATCTGGGGAATAATCAGTGGACCAGCTGGTTTTTTACTGTCTTCTTCCTCAGTGTACAACTAGGAATCCCACCCAGCAACACAGCGGCTTTTATCAGATCTCCCTTATCCACGCTCTAACACGTCCGTGTCCTCACCTGCAAGCAGGGCAGCCTCCCACCACCACTACAGAGGGTTGGATGATGGCGTAAGTCCCAGGGTAAGGCTGCTGGGATACAGCAGGGGGCATCTGGGCTGCTGGGTAACCTGCAGGTTAAAAGAAGCAGGTGAGACAAGTCACATGCAGGTCAGAGGCCGTGTTTATCAGCATGAACAACAATACAGTCAGATATTACTGACGTAGACTGCAATAAAACTGCCCTGAGCACCAACAGGAGTGTTAACTGGAGGGCTGCTGATTTCGCTCTTCAGCCATATTTACTTTGCAGACCACAAAGTGAGACAATGACCTTTGACACGATACACAGAATTCTCAGAAGTGTTTGCCATTCAGAGAAAACTGAAGCTTAACTAAACACGTAAAAACACAGACACACATCGCTGATTTATGATAACTGTGCCATAAAGCTTAAAAGACAGACTCTGTTGAGAAGACCAAACACATGTGGTTCAGTAAACAGGAAGCTTCATGCAATTACAAGAACTTGATTTAAGCACAGGATTGCTTCCTCGAATGCCGCCCTTATACAATCACAGTCAGGTGATGAGTTCCTGTACTTCATGTACAGCAGTCACGCAGTACAAAGACATACAACAGCATAGCTCCTCCGCTCTAGAAGAATTATTTCTGGCTGTCAAAACTTTCACATCTTTAGATGATTTTGATTCCAAATAAATTAAGAAAAAAATTGATCAATCAAAGGTGATTTGCTGACTAGTTGTGCAGCTCAGCATTTGTTTATTATTAATCCTTTAAATCTGGATATTGTCTAATTTAAACAAGAGAGAAAAAAGTCAGGTTAACCCAGATCTTTTCGCATAGAGCGCATGCGCAACATTGGAGCGCCTTGTGAAGGAAACTGGTTAGTCTTTGACGAAACTCGAAGTCTCTCACGTTTCACGAAAAGTTCCCTTTATAGCCAAAAACCTCTGTGGCGCACAAAGACTTATAGAATATAAAGGCCCACAATAGACTTCCTTTAAACATAAACGGAAGTGGGTTAACGTTTTGCTAGTTACTTTACTTTCCGGTGTGCGCTTTAACTGTGGACACGAGCGAAATACATGGGACTACTTGCCTTGACCAGCGGGGTACGCGTAGGGCGGCGGGGCCGCAGCGGGGATGGCCCCATAGTTGTGCTGCTGCTGCTGCGGGCCGTAGTCGTAAGCACCCGGGACGGCGTTGTAGGCGGGCGGTCTGTCCTGGAGAAGAGGTTTGCTGTCCACCATCTCGCCCGACGTAACGTGTCCTCAACTTGTCTCGTTGTCTGACCTCAAATCAGCCACACAAACATGCACACAAAGGGGGTCGAAACTGAACTACTTGGCGTTCGTTGCTACGGGAGGTTGGCTAGCACTCAGTGGCGACAAAATAAAAGAAAATACGCTGCGCAAAAATGAAACTTCGTCCCTCTCCATGCGCCAACTTTGTCCCCCGGGCGGCGCAACAACCCCAAACGTCCAGTTCAGAGACGGGAATGATCTGAGTGTGACTGGTAATGGTTAACTCAACTCCATTTCCCTCCTTAAAGTTGGTCCTCTGATACCAAAACAACAGTCATCTGTCATCGCAGCTCAGCAAAACTCAGCTGGAAGTCGGAAAGGCTTTTCCTTTCTGTTCGGATTGTCACAAGAGAAGAATCATGTGATGAGCTGCTGTAGCGCCTCTGCGCAGTGAAAGGCTTCTTAAAGCGACAGTGCATAAAAAAATAAAAGGCCGTGTGTTTCTTGCTGCATGCAGCTCACTGCAGTGCCTGCAGTTTACTCACAGAAAGAGAGCGATTATCTGCTGCTACCAGTTGATATTTGGTGATATTCTGCTCATAATTCAGGGATGGTTCGCATCATATTGGCTGTTGTTTCCATGCCTCAGAGTCTGAGCCAGACCTGTTTACTCCGTGACTTACATAACTGCTGCCCTTATTAGTACCTAGCGTTGCATAATATTGAGTTCACATTTTTAATCAGAGGATAGAAGTGCTGAAGAATTCTAAACGATCTAGCAAATTCCTGGCAATGGCAACCAGTCATAATCAGCAGATTATTTAAAAAATGTATGTGCTGAAATGTCATTGCAAGCAAATTCAATATGGAAGTAGCAAAGGATAGTTTTGAGAATGGGTTTCGAAGCCTGAAGTGTAGCATTGTGGGTGCCACATGTGACCATATGCCTGGTAAGCAAAGGGCATCAATATATTATATGGGAACATCAACTCTTGGGTGGTATTTATACTTTTGTTATGTTGCCCAGTCTGGTGCACCCACCACATTCCTGTGTTACTGAATCAGCACACATATAATAATTTATTGTTATGGTACGGGGTCTATGACCCAGTGTTTTCTAATTTGTGGGCAGAATGCTGTTTGTTTTTGAATATTCGGTGCTTCTCATATTCATGGTTATTTTTACGCCTTGTATTAAGTATGTTTTCGTTAGTCTTCAGCTCTTTGTGATTTCTGAGTTTCTCTCCATCAGTGTCTAGTCTCCTCTTGTGGTTAATCGGTCTTGTCTTAACATTAGTTTTTTCTCTCATCTCAGCGGAAGTTCTCCTTTGTTTGTTTCTTTTAGTGTTTCTTTGTACCTCTTATAGAGTTCAGTGTCACAGCAAATGCCTTCCTAAGTTAATTCCCTTGTCTCTGAGTCCTATGTTTGGGTCCTACCTCTGCCTGCTGCACAGTACATCCTTGACATTTATGTAAAGATACATAACAGCTGTTTATTTTTAATTGGTTTGTAATTTGGAATTTAACTCTGTCTGAGTACATTTATGAACAAGAGGGCTACTTGTGTTTTGTGACCAAGTATGGATAAAAACAAAAACAAAGGAAGAGTCAATCATAATCAGGATATGGATGGACCAAATATAAATTAAGCAGGTGTAGGGTCACTACAGGCCTTTACTTCTTTGAAGTGAATTAGAAATTGACTAGAAATTGACCCCATTAAACAAATAGGTGTGTGTGTGTGTGTGTGTGTGTGTGTGTGTGTGTGTGTGTGTGTGTGTGTGTGTGTGTGTCAGGGCAAATCTTTAAAAGAAATGCATTAATTAAAACATACCAAAGTAAAGCAAACTCCCTCCTTTCATCTCAGCTCCTCAGCACCTCACCTCCATGAAGCTCTTTGCCTGTTTATGTCCATACTCTACTGCCATCTTGTGGCCATTGTCGTTGAAATCTGGCTTGTTTTCTACTCATAGGGAACTGTAGCCCTCTCTGTTTTTCAGTGGTGTCCATCTTCTGGTAACAATGACTGGAACTGGGAAAGCTGAGAGGCCAGAGGCTTTTGTCTGGTGGTTTCCGCATGCACATTGGATAAACCTCTGTTCTTTCATGGTAAACCTGTGGGAGAGCAATGTTCAAGGCAAGCTGCCGATGGCTCTGCTTTCAGTGCTCTAATATCAGTTGGAATCTGCACTCTGTGTGGAAACACAGCTAGCACTAGCAAGTAAACCAGTTTCAGTGATTTATCAGTTATAAACTCATGCAACAAATTAGCAAAGAAAGCTGTTGACAATGATGGTGAGGGGAAAGCAACTCTGACCATGTCCGGTCTAATAAAACAGTCAAGTTGACCAGATGAAGGCTTAGAAGCACTTCCAGATTAGCATCTATGAATATGTCTGAATGTAACACATTTAACCTGCTAATTTATCAAAACTCAAACTTCATTTTTCATTCATATTTTAAGGCCATTGTGAGTAGGCCAGACACATCTGTCTGCACTGTCTTATCCAAAAAAGACAAAAGGACTTGTGAAAACTCTTCATCATCTTCCAAATCTTGTCTCTCCTCTAAAATTACTGCAGTTCTCTGAGCAGAGGATCTCTTTGCTAACTTGCTAACTAATCACCCTAGCAAGCTATTTATCTGTGGTTCCCTAACCCTGATTTTCAGCTGCAGTAGAGTGTGAGGAAATATAGTGTTTCACCAAAAAAAGAGAGAAAATGTGTTGGAATGTGGGCACAGACATGTTTTGGTGTTTATAATGTAACAATGTTTGAACCTCATGCAGGAAACACCATGCAGGAGGAGGAAAAACTAAGGAGACAGAGCCAAACAGAGCCAAACACCACAAAAGGTTTAATCATCCATCAAAACTTGGCAGACACTGCTTGGACCAGCTGTTAGTACAGTTAATCTTACAGTGTTTGTGAGTCGTCTGTGTGTTGCTGTTGTTTGTACCAGGCTAATTATAGGTGGGCATATCAACCTAAATATCACTATTACCGATACCAGCACTGGTATCAGATTGATACTAACGCGATAGGATCGATATTTTTGTTTCTATCCTCAAACATGCACTATGAAAAATGTCTGAACCTTTCTGTGTTCACTGTCATGTCTATTTTATTTATAGTTTGTTGCAGATTTTTAAAAACAAAAGACCCAAAGTGCTTTAGAGATGGGCACATTTACTAGTTCCAAAATACATTCGTGGCCAAAAGTTTTGAGAGTGACACAAATATTAGTTTTCACAAAGTTTTCTGCTAAACTGCAGGTCACCATGGTTAACAATGGAAGAACAATGATTTCAAGCATCACCCTCCTTTTAACATGTCAGGTCTGCCATTCTAACCCAATCAGCCTGACATAATGATCTCCAGCCTTGTGCTCGTCAACATTCTCACCTGAGTTAACAAGACGATTACTGAAATGATCTCAGCAGGTCCTTTGATGACAGCAATGAAATGCAGTGGAAAGGTTTTATTGGGATTAAGTTAATTTTCACGGCAAAGAAGGACTATGCAATTCATCTGATCACTCTTCATAACATTCTGTAGTATATGCAAATTGCTATTATAAAAACTTAACCAGCAACTTTTACAATTTCCAATATTTATGTAATTCTCAAAACTTTTGGCCACGACTGTACATGCAAAGGATGTTGCTACTTTTAATTAATTGTTAATTTATTTATCAGATTGAGTCTATGAGTTAGTACTTTCACATAAACAACAACAACAACACATGTACACACACAAAATGAATGTATTCTTTCTCATTTTTTTCTACTCATCTTAACATCCCTTAGTTTTGTCCTGTGTCTCCTCACAGTGGGCCCAATCCACAGGTTGGGAACCACTGAGGTAATTCAAAGAAAGAAAAAAAACGTTTTTCAGTTGCTTGATAATTGTGATATATTACAACCTCAATTCGGTAATGTTTTGAATGTAGAACTTAGGGGACTATTTTTACTCTGGTGTTGGCGGATGTAAAGACTGTCTGTAACACTGACGGTAGATCAGTCCAAAGTTGGTGGCACAGGCAGGAATACTGACACTCTGCAGGTTTCCTTTCCATCCAAAGACGCCCCTGTGTTGTTCAGCATTCTTACAACCAGAAAGGAGGACGTCTTTGAAGTCGTGCTGAGTTGAGCCTGTCCCAGGGTTGGCCATCCACTTTGTCTAAAGCTTCTACTGGATCAAAGTGCGCCTGTCCAAGGTGCTGAGCCGGTTTTAACATATCCCATCGGGTTAAAAAGTTAAGTTATTTTTTGTTACTCGAGTTTGTGGTAAAATATTCCAAACTGTAATCAAGCCCGCGCTTCAATAATTCATCTGGCGCTGAATAAATTATTAAAAAATGCCCGCTGATCAGCTGCAGCGGTCGGAAAAAAATATATCATGGGCTCCGGTGTTCGACCAATGGGAGAAAGAGATCCCACGCTCCTGTCGAGCTTCAACCAATCATAGCAGCACTTCCTCCATTTCCTGTTGTGGAGTGGGAGCTTCACGGAGGATTCCTGTGGTCCAGAATGTGAATTTAATACGACTGTGTGCATGGATGACTTTATTTGTTCTCCCCAGAGGTGCTGCTGCGTCACGGAGCCTCATGCGTAAGTAACAGTTGGAACGTTTTTTTTTTTTGGGAGGGGGGACGCCAGCTGACTGCTGCCTGCTGCCTGCTGCCTGTTCCCTGAGGATGTAAACAGCTTATACCCGACTTTGCGGCACATCTTAGTAGATATCAACTGTGTTATCATGCTGCATAGCAGACGTTACATCCCGTCTGTTGTTAATAACATGGGGGTTTGAATGTGTCCCAGCATGGGCCTCAGAGATGACAGGCATCGGCTGCTGCACCTGATGTCATGAAGCGTCTGTGGATATTCCCTTGACAACCGCGGATCGGATACCAATATTCAGGTAGGCTGCTGCGGTAGCCCGTGCAGAGTTTCTGATCCTGGATTTACTGGAACTCCTGTGTGTGATTGCGTAAAGCTTTACTGCTGTCTGTCATCTATAACAAGTTCAACCTGGACAACTGCAGGTTTATAAAAACGCTGATGTGATGAGCTCCTTCTGTTTACTTCTGTTTATGCGAGAGGCAAACAAAAGGGCCCGGCTCAATGGATAGCCTTGACATAGTATACTGTAGCGGATTAGTATCAGTTGATAACACAAGGGTCAAGCCAGCCAGCCAACATAAAAGGAAGACTTCCGGTCAAACTTTTCAATATAAAAGTCGACTTCCTCGTTTGTTTGTTTGTTTTTACAGAAGATAAAGTTGAGTCTGTTTAGTTGGCTCCATTACGTTTTTGTTTACCACCAGGTAACTCTAGCAATTAACGACTGTGCAGCCTTAAATCAGCTCTGCAACTGTAACTCTGCACTGTAAAATTAATGCATTAACTGTTTAGGACACACAGCTTTTTTATACCCTACATAGTACACAATTTTCAGAGGCTCAGAAGTAACTGGACAAACTAATAAGGACTGTTTTTTAACACTTGGGTGAAAAACCTTTACAGACAATGACTGCTTGACCTTTAAATACCTTGTTTCCTCCTGTGAGACGCTCTGGCAGGCCTTTACTGCAGATTCCTCCAGTCGCTGCTGGTTTGTTTGTCTTTCTGCATTTAGTTTTGTCTTCAGTGACCGACAAGCTGCTCTGTTGTGTTGAGGTCAAGTGACCATTTAACAATATAAGTAAATATATTTATTTTCTTGGGTTGTTTTTCCACTTCCACTAGTATTAATTTGCACTTTGAAGCACTGCCCTCTTTTCTGGCAAAGTCTAATCTGGCTTCCTTGTTCAGGAGTGGAACCAGTGTTGTGCACCCTGTTTTAAACTGGTTAGACTTGGTTAGATGTTGTGAAGTAGTTTTTCTTTACCATGGAAATAATTTTGTCATCATCCACTTCATCCATCATCTGTGGCCTTTCAGGACTGGCCAGTTTTTAAGAACGGACCAGATTGTTGATTTCGGCAATTCTAAAATGTTTGCTATCGCTCTGATTGGTTTTTCTTTTTCTTTTCTTTTTTCTTCTTTTAATCCATTGTTTAATCTAACAATGGCCTGAACTTGCATCTCTTTGGACCTCATATTGAGATTTCAAACAGCAGGTTCAAATCAACTCCAGATCTTTTATCTGCTCATGTTTTTCATCTGGCATTGAGCATTGTCTCTTTACTACTGAGCCCTTGAAAATGAGGGACTATCTATAAAAATTACTCTAATTCCTAATTTTGTCTGCACTTCAACCACATCTTGATTACTTGATTTAAATCCTCAGTGTTGGTATACAGGGGCAAAACTACAACAAATATGTAATTGCCCAAAAACTTACAGACCTAACTGCATGTTATTATTTTTGAGTAACAGATATAAACCTAAAACTCCAGAAAATATGTTAGACACTTATTTATTTATTGATTTTTTTTTTTTAATAAAACACTTTTAATAATGCAGTCATTTGTGATTTGTGAGGGATGCTTTTCGATGCTATGAGCAGAGAGTTTTACAATATATAAGGCACAGCTTGGAATGATGAGTGTTGTCCTCTTGTTCCTGTGCAGGAACCATCATGCCAATAACACTTCTGTGGGCCGTGGACGTGTACGGCAGAGTGTACAGCCTTTCTACAGCCGGCCAGCGCTGGGAACGTGCTGATGACTCGCTGCTAGAGCTCAAACGTGTCTCTGCAGGGAAGGGGCGCTGCTGGGGCATCGGCTGTGACCACCATGTTTACCTCAATATGATGCCCAGTGAGACCCCGATCCGCTACCGGGAGGAGACTTATGAAAACCAGGTGGGACAAGGTTGTATATTTTAACGCTGTAAATGGAGATGCTGTTTATGATTAATGCTAAATCTGTGTTTTTTTTTTTTAAATGTTTGTTTTTTCAGAGGTGGAACCCAGTGGATGGCTTTACTGACACACTGCTGCCCACCGACCGTTGGCCGTGGAGCGATGTGACCGGAATGAATCCCCAGCCACTCCACAGCTTCCAGCTGCCCTCCCGCAGCTGGGAGTGGGAGGGAGACTGGTATGTGGATCACACCTGTGGAGGAGAACCCAGCCAGACTGGGGTGAGAAATAACTCTGCTCCTTGTAAACACATACAAACCCTTTGTTTACATCCTCCTGTCTTTCCTCTGTTCTTCTGTTTCTCATAATATTTAATTCATATTTAAAACAAATACTTCCAGTTTTAATCACATGCTCACTACCTTGGACTCTGTAGGGCTGGGAGTATGCTGTTGACTTCCCAGCCAACTTCTCCCCTGACAAAAAGTGGAATTCTTGTGTCCGTCGTAGACGGTGGATCCGCTACAGAAGATACATAGCACAAGGCACTTGGGCAAAGGTTTCAAAAGTCTCCATTTATTCTGTATTTCTATATGATCATGTTACTTTCACTATGAGACAAAGCAAAAGAATTACCACAGTAGCCTTGCCTTTCTCTGCAGATCCCCTTGGACAATCCCAGGAAACCTCCACTGCCGCTCTGTGACATCAGCTGTGGTGGCTGGGAGATGAGCGACCAGTCCGGAAGGTATCCCTACCTCTGGAGTGTATCTCAACAGGGACAGGTGAGCAATGTGTGTGTAAGACCCATTTACTGTAATCATAATAAATGTGTATTAAAATGAATAACCGTACCATAAGATTAAAAAAAGAGGTTATGGCAGTGCAGAAAATTCCTGAAAAGTTTAAAGAGCTCTAAAAACAGTCTGGTGTTGTTCAGGGAAGTGTAAAGCTTCTCTACCAACATCCTCAATACAATGCTGTGGAAGCTTTAATCAAGCACATTCACAAACACATTTAAATCTCATGAAATCAAACAATTCAAGATAAATGATGTATTCTGTTGCAACAGGATGCTCTCATGCTGAGCGTAGGCCACTTCCAAGGTTTAGCCACAAGAGGGCAGCATGACTTCATATAGTTTCATATGGTCCTTGACCATAAGGCTTTTCGTGAACCAGTTAAATCGTGACTAACTTGATGATTAATCAAGTTAAAATTGATGCTCTATTATCTTTCCCAGAATGAGCTCAGCCAACTAACATGGTATGGATCTGTCTTTTTAAATGAAGGGGTGTGTCAGATGATGAAGCTGATGTTACCTTTACCCTGCAGGTGTGGTTCAGAGAGGGTATCCACCCTCGTGTGCCAGAAGGGACCAGCTGGGAAGAAGTTGAAGTGCCCAAGGAGGTGGCTCAGATATCAGCTGGTCCTGGAGACCTGCTGTGGGCTTTGCTCTGGGATGGGAACCTGCTGGTGCGAACTGGCCTGAGCCTGGACAGTCCCACTGGTGAGCTTTCATTGTAGCTCACATTTACTCAACAATTTTCCATTATGTCTCACTCTGGTCCCCTTTTCTTTACTTCAACAATCTCTCATACAGGATCACTCAGTGATTTTGGGACTCTTTCAGTTAGGAATCATTATGTAGCTGCTCTGAAAGTCATTAATAATGCAGTTTAAATGCTATGATCATTTTTGTAATAGTATTATAACACAGTCCCACTGATATATGACACAGCTAGAAAGTAAGTAAGTGAAATTCATTGCATTTCCATCTGTCAGTCATAGTAAACATACAACATGTAGTACTGTCATATTCCAGGTCGGTATCAAAAGTAAAGGTTTAAAGGCATGAAAGTGGCAAACATTTTTTTTAAAAAACTTAAAAATATGAGTGTGTATCGAATTAGGAAGACTCACTCCCTTTTAAAGATAAAAATCAACATCACATCTGGTTTGTTCATGTTTAGATGATTTGAGAACTCAACAGGAAGCTTCTCAGTAATGACGGCGTCCTCATTATGAGGAAGGCTTGCCTTTGTGCTGGGTTTGTAAAGCATTTTCTTCTTCTTCTGTCAGGCACGTCGTGGCTCGAGGTGGAATCACCGGGAAAGGAAATTGAAGCGCTTCACGTGGCTGTAGGAGTCAGTGTGGTCTGGGTGGTCACTAAGGACTACAAGGTGGGTTATTAGTCAGTTGCAGTTATGTTAGGGCATTGTAGACCACTGACAGTGTCACTGCAATTTTCTTGAGACTGAAATGAAACAAATGCTTTGATTTAAAAAGAAGTAAACTGTATTACTGAATTACTGCTACTGCACTAAAATACATTTTTGAGTAATGACCCCAACGTCGGTGCGTGAATCCAGGTGTGGTTCAGGCGTGGCGTGAACTCCCACAACCCCTGTGGCTCTGGCTGGATCAGCATCGGAGGGGAGATGATGATGGTGGACGTAGGACTGAATGACCAGGTTAGGAGAGCTTAGAGCTGAAACATTTCATCAGCGGATCATCGGTTTAAATAAACAGCTGAACGAGTCGACTTTATAATATAATACTGCTTATATGAAAAGATATTCCTCAAATGCTTAGAATGTGGATTTAATAGGTTAGCTGTTGCCACTGAAGTGGGCCTGTGGGTGAAATTGAACTATTAAGGATAAGATTTTCTTCGAACTTTCTTGCTGCTTGGGTCTTTTAAACTCCACTACAGAGGGTGCCTGCTCTGCACAGCTTCTGTACTTCTGACTGCTACCACCTCTGTCTGCCTCGCGTTACTGTCACTCTGGATCTGGTTTCAGGACAAACCAGATCAGGTCTTAGGGTGAGGCAGAAAGCTTTCGATCCTGTGCCTTACTGCTGAAGACTTAGCTAGCTCTGCAAACCCATATCTCGCACCTCCTCCCTTTCGGTCTCACCCATGTCCCCCTCCTTCTCTTGCCTGTAGTCCTGTAACAAGAGCACAGCCAGACGTTCCAGCCAATGTCCCAGCAGGCCCAGCCTTATATATCCCCAGACTATATTCCTACTCGCCTCACATAGGGGAAGACTCCCTAATTAGAAGCTGGCCAAGCCATCGTCATCGTATCCCATATTTCATATTTCAGGGTTGCAATTATGGGAATGGCTTGTGTGAGGTGGCAGGAGCCAGTGTTACAGTATATGGCCTTATAAAGTAGTACTTGCCTGTGTCCTGCTAGAGCTTCTGATGTGTTATTGAGGAGTGGATACTTTCCTGCGATTACTTAGAGTGAAAACTATTTAATAACTCAATAAGTAAATATCGCATGTACATCAATGGCCGTCTTTTATTTTTTATGTTACAGCATTTGTTTTGTTTTTTTTCTCTGTTCTTCTGTTAGGTGTGGGCGGTCGGTGAGGACCGCGGCCTGTATTTTAGAATAGGTGTCACCCCATCTGAGCCAAGTGGAAATGGCTGGATCCCTGTTTCTGCCCAATGGGGCAATAGTAAAGAGGTTATTCCGCCCAGGTGTGCATAAATAAATTAACGGCATATTTTAATTGGCAAGTACAGTGCACATTCAAGCTTAATATTGCGTGTGTGTTTGCATGTGTGTTGTTTAACAGGGATGACTGTGAGTTCAACGGGCAGTTGACTGAGGCATCACAGGGCTCCGTTCTGAGCTGCACTGATTCAGACTCAGAGTTGGGTCCTGCCGACCCTCAAAACAGCACTTCTAACACCCCCATCTTAGAAGCAGAAGCACCCTCTGTAGTCCCATTAGGGGGCTCTGACTCACCTACGCCTCCACAGGAAAAAGAAGATGCTCCTTTAGCCCCCCAAACGAATGCCCCCAAGCCTTTTATTCCTGCCAGTGACAGCTTCATCAACAGCCTGGTGTCCGATCGTGACAGAACCTCCACGCTGCAACCGTCCATCACAGAGATGCCGCAGGAAGAGCGTGAGGAGCCACCTCCGGCCCCAGTACTCCAAACCCCTGATGCCGGAGGGCACGATGTCCCCTGGATGAACGTGGACCTGGAGGGGGCAGAGGCGGCTCGAGGTGCACACACGGCAGGGCCCTCAGCGGGCGATGGCAGTGCGGCTGCCACTTATGCCCTGGGGACTCTGGAGAGCTCTCGGGGAGTGGGGGAAGAGGAAGGACCAGTGTGGGCTTGGATTTCCGGTGGAGGTTGCGACGTGGATGCGAGTTCACAGATTAGCTGGCTTAGTCCTGCAGGTATATGGACAACCCGTCACAGTACTTATATTGTGATATTGTGTTTTTGCTCCATTTTATGTCTCTGTCCATCAGGTCCTCTCACCACCTCTCTGTCACTGACTCCAGTCCAGTCAGCCGCCTGGAGCAAACAGCCACAGCAACAGGAACACAGAGAGGAGATCACCAAGAAACCGCTGGAAAGAAGCAACGTAAGACAGCTTATATTTGGCATGTCTCTTAACATGCTCCTCTAAGTGTTGGATTCATTATGTTCACTCCTTTCATGGCACACCTTCGGCTGTGTCCGTGTCTACATCTGTGCCTCCTTTTCTCTCATCAGTCGGTGTGGGTGCGTAAGGGCACACTGCGCTGGTGGAGAGACTGGAAACCTCAGCGCTGGATCGATGTGGGCGTTGCTCTCGAGCAGTCCACCAAGTCAGATGGCAAAAAGGACAGCATTTTCTTTGTTTACTACACACAGTATGATGAGAAAAAGGTCGGTTGTGTTAAGCTGCGACCGGTTAAAGTCTCATAAGAAGTGACAGAAAGCACAGATTGATGTCTCTTGGTCACTCTCTGTTCATTCTCTGTGTCTTAGTACCTTCATGTGTTTATAAATGAAGTGACGGCGCTGGTTCCGGTGCTCAGGGACTGCCACTATGCCTTTGCTGTGTACACTGCCGAAAGGACCAAACAGAGGTGGCCTCTGGTCCTGGCAGCACAAAGCGAAAAGGATATGAGTGATTGGGTAACAGCTTTATGCATCATTAAGCAGTTTGACAGTTGTTCCCATCTGTTATTTTTCAGTGAAGCTGATCAGATTCTCCATTGTTTCTGGATCTGCTTTGTGTCTTCAGTTGTGCCTGTTGTCTGACTGTTGCTGTGAGTGTCGAGGGATCACAGGTCTCCCGTCCAAACAGGCCCTGTGGTCCACCACATCAAAGGGAGACATCATGGTCCACGAGCCGTCCCTCTCGCTGGAGGCGCCTGCGCATGCCATGGCCTGTGACCTCATGTGAGAATGATACCAAGCAGTGGATTCTGTCTGCTTTTTCATGTCTTTTCATTCTTTCTCACTGTCTTGACCTGGTTTCTCATTACTCTGTTTTTATTTTAAATCACTGCCTCACTAACACGCTAACATACATCTCTGTCTGGTTAAAGTGGGTAGCATTTGAGCATCTAATCACTTTCAGTCTGTGCTAACCATACTGGAGCTAACGCTGGGTGCTTCCGCTGTATGGTGCTGCAGGTTTTGGCGCCAGATCCACGGCCACCTGCGCTGTGTAGAGTCTAACAGTCTGGGGCTGGTGTGGGGCATCGGGTGGGACGGCACCGCCTGGGTCTACAGTGGGCGCTGTGAGCAACAGCCCAACCCGGGTAAACATGTCCTGTAGACGATTACCCATGTCCCCACACCTATACAAGGAGTACTTCAAAATAAAGACATGTTCTTATTTAGCAAAGCCAAACTTTTTCCAGCTAACTGATTGTTACCAAATAAATAAAATACTAACATGTAAATATCTAAAAAAAACAGTCTGCTCTTTTCTTGCTCGCATGTTCTAGTTTGATGTGCAGCTGCTTGAGCATAGTTTAAAGTCTCTTCCATCTGTTGCCACTGTAGAAGCACACACAGATACACATGCATAAATATTCATTCCCTTGTTTGCATGAAACTTTAATGTGTCTTAGTTTCTGCAGGAGGTGCCGTTCAGATGCACCAGCAGACCGACGTCAGGAGTGTGCATGTGTATGAGAATCAAAGATGGAACCCTATGACTGGATATACAGACAAGTAGGGTAGCCCCCCGCACACACCCCACCCCATCTTTTACAGTTTTTAAGTCTTTGCACTTTATTTTAAGCTTTGCAGCTGTTCTCGCCACCTTACACCATTCCTTTGTGATTTACTCCTCCAGAGGGCTTCCCACAGACCGCCCTATGTGGAGCGATGAAAGCGGCCTGAAGGAGTGCATCAAAGGCAGCACATACCCGCCCTCCCCTCAGTGGTCCTGGGTAGGTAGAATCCGAGGAATTGGTTCCTCCGAAATATTCATTTTTTTTTGTCTCACTGGCATTCTCTGCCATGAACGTTTGTTTCAGGTGTCAGAGTGGGCCGTGGACTACAGCGTCCCCGGAGGAACGGACAAAGAAGGCTGGCAGTATGCTGCAGACTTTCCCACGTACGTAAGCTTTTTTATTTGTTTTTATTAGGGTGTCTCGAAAGAAGTCCTTCCCTTTTATTGACTCATCTGTTTTCTACAGGACATTTCATGGCCACAAAACCATGAAAGACTTTGTTAGGCGCAGACGATGGACTAGGTGAGCACACTTCGCATCGCTGGGATTTTGTAGCGCTCAGTTTTTGCAGCATCTTAACAATAACATATCCACACCCAGGAAGTGTAAGATCACATTGCAAGCTCCATGGAATCAGGTCCCACCCATCCGCCTGAGTGACATCTCACTGATGCCATGCCTGGCCCAGAGCAAAATGGAGCAGGTCCCTGTCTGGGCCCTCAGTGACAAGGGAGATGTCTTGTGTCGGTTGGGAGTCAGCCTCCAAAACCCTGCGGTGAGAAACGTGCTGAGGATCTGTTTTATAGGTAGTTACTTCACACTTCTAACCATCTCTAACCTCACTGGGTCTGACCACATAGGGCAGCTCGTGGCTCCACGTGGGCACTGACCAGCCCTTTAAGTCCATCTCTATCGGTGGAGCCAATCAGGTATGGGCCATTGCCAAGGATGGAGCTGTCTTCTACAGAGGATCAGTATCCCCACAAAACCCTGCAGGTCAGTTAAATTTATAAATCTCATAATGAATCATATATATAAGTCATAAAGTTATAATGTGTTCTGGAGGAAAAGAGAATAAAGTTAAATGATTTATGATGTGAGTGCATGCATCGACTAATATAACCAGTGAGAAACCAAAGAGAGCCAGACTTTGTCTATTTTTCAAGAGCTTTTGTCTCTCTGCAGGAGAGTGCTGGTACCACATCCCCTCCCCCCTGAGACAGACCCTCAGACAGCTTTCTGTTGGGCGGACCTCTGTCTTTGCTGTGGATGAAAACAGTGAGCAATATTATGTTTTATTGGACCAATGTCTATTAAAATGCGAGAACATGAGTTAAATGGCAATACCTTCTGTTAATAATGTTATTAATGTCACTTAGGTAACCTGTGGTACAGACAGGGCCTCACCCCCAGCTACCCACAGGGCTCCGCCTGGGAGCTCATCTCCAACAATGTCACCAAGGTTTCTGTGGGGCCGCTGGACCAGGTCAGTGTTACCACAGTTTCCAGAAGCAAACGAGCTGTAATGGAATTAAAAGTAAAACAGAATCTAAAAGACATTAAAAGGAATAAAAAAATAAATTGCATTTATAGTAAAACTGGAGTTAAAAGCATTAAGAGAATTCAAATTAACTTTACATAATAGCAGACCTGTTGCATTCATATCACCCAGTTGCCCATCTAAACAGATATGTTTTTAGCATTCAGTTACCAAAGTCTGAAAAGCCCCATCACCCCAGAGACTTAGCTGAGTGTAATAAACACTAAATAAACTCAAGCGAAGGCTTAAAACAAGAAGTCTATCCATCAATAACTACATTTGCATGTTGTAAGGCTGGAGTTTGTGTCAGCGATGCTGTTTTCTCCAGGTGTGGATCATAGCAGACGGAGTTCCAGGTTTCCCTGCTGAGACTCCCGGAGCCGTCTGCCACAGGACGAGTGTGGGACCCATGCAGCCCAAGGGCCTGTCCTGGGACTATGGGATAGGGGTGAGCTCCTAGTTGATACCTGTTGCAAAAACTGTTCCCATTTCTTCAGTTGAAACTGAAAGATGACAAAGATATTATTATATTGTATCCTAGCACCAAAAAAAAAAAAAGATTCCCAAAAAGCTATTATCACAGCATAGTGTGCAGTGTTTCCCTAAAAACTTTGAGGAAACTGGGACTCCTGTGGTAAGAAACAGTAAAAAAAAAAAAAATCCAGCAAAACTCTGACACAGGACATGTGAGATGCATCCAGCCCCTTCAGCTGATTAGTCTACTGTTCACTGAAGCCTGATCAGGAGTGATCTCAGTAGAAGAATGAATTTTTTAACAATTTTCATCTGCAGATCGATACTCATGCGGTGCTGTAGTGAAGAAACAACCAAAAGGGTGACTTTCACATATTTTTTAACCTCAATGTAGCTCTGTGAAATCAGACGGAGGCAAAGTGGCTCTCATAAGAGAGCATAAACCACTCAAGCTTGATTAATAGTACTGTGATAAATCTACGCTGTAGGTATGATTGCCAATAAAAATCAAATGCCGAGTAAACACAGTGTAATGATTAGCAGAGGGGTAATAGCTCTGTCAAACAAATGTTTAACAGAGCTCACGCAACAGCCAGTATTTTGCCAGTGTAAATTAAATCATATTCCCTATTTATTAGCTCAGAGTGCAAGATGATCAGCTCAGGTTCACTCGTGCTGGCAGACACACTGATGGAGAAGTATATTCTGTATGCAAACAGTGACACCGAGAGAGAAGCTCTGCAGGGATCCAACACAGGACTATGAATCAAGCCTTAAATCAACATAAGCAGAAGCTTTAGGCAGGGCCATCATGTTCTCCGTACTTGAATTGAAGAATTCAGGCTATTGGCAAAAGGCACCTTTCAAACTTAGCGTTAAGATTTGAAGTTAAGCCCTTTTTTAATTGTCTAATAATTAGGTTAAAATTAACTGCACTTTAAAAACCAGCAAAATATATACAGTCAGGGTAATATGAAGTAACACCCGCTTTCAGTTCTAAAGATGTACATATTCACAATATAATAAATCTATCTGGTAGATACAAGGTCTTAAAATAAGGTAAATACAACAACAAATTACACAGTGTTTTCATTTATTTAACAAAATCTAAACCAAAATGCAGAAGAACTCTGGAAAAGTCCAACTTTACCTCTTCTATAGGAATCAAGTGCGTAAGTAGCAGCCAGGTGCTGCTAATCACATGCAAGTATTCAAAAACAGTTAAAGCTGTTTAAGCTTTTTCTAGTATTTCTTATCATTTGCGTGTGTTTGACTTCCAGGGAGGATGGGAGCACACCAGTGTGAGGGGGAACTCAGCAGAGGCTCCTCGAGGCCCTCACCCTCCTCTCGCCGGACCATCGCGCAGCCCGGTCCACCCGCAGCGTCCGACTCAAGCGAACGGCAGCGCCACAAGCGTGTAGCTCTATCTCTGTCTCCCGTTTCCTTCTCGTCATTTTTCCTCAGCCCTGTTTGTGCCTGGATCTATACACAGCATCTCTCCTCAGACCATTTCAACGAACTCCTATCCCTTCGTGTAAAGGGACATGCACAATCACACCCATGGGTTTGGACTGGCTGGATTTGAAACTTGATCGATGGATGAATGTTACTCGCTGGCTTGTTTCCCGGGCAGAAATCAGAAGTCAATATTCACTGATGACAAAACAGAGAAAAAAGTAAGCGCATGTTGTTGCTCTTACTAAGCTTTGGCTACTGGATGTCACAGGATCTAGCAATAGCTTTTAATTCTTCTCCACAGCAGCCTGATAAAACCTAAAAAGGTGGGATATGATGAAGGGCTAAGGCTTGGTTACCAAATGAACTTCAAACAATCCCAGAGTAGCCTAAGCTGTTATCGGTTTGTAGACTCCTGTTTGTTTTTGTGTTTTGAGTTGCCTGTCATGTACATTTGAATGTGTTATCATTTATTTATGATGCGTTTGTTGAGTTGTGTTTCTCCGTTTACTTTGGACCATTACATGTTTGCAATGGAGTGTATTTATGACTGGCAAAAAAATTTGATACATTCACTTCGTGTGGGGAAAAATATATTGCTTTTTACCGCCAGGCAATACCTTTCTATCCTTCTGCAATAAAATGAGAAGCTCTTGCTGTTGACAGAAATCTATATCTATCTATCTATATCTATATCTATATCTCTATATAGATATAGATATACACACACATCTAGATAACTGCTATGACCGTAACACTGCAGCAGGTCTGAATGTCACCACGGCTGTACATTGATCTTACCGGGGCATTGAAATGTGAAATAAACGTCTGGAAATACCGTTTTGTGGTTAGACATCATTTCACAGAAGCTGGCTTTGGAAGTTTGACCCTTTCCACGTCTTTGCTATTTTATTCTCTTTTTTTATGTACTGAGTGTTTCTCATCCGCCAAAGAATTTCATATATTGTTACAGATTTGTGCACAGGATGTTTCCTGAATTCCTCCCTCTGTATGTGCATTTAGGTTAACCCGCCATATATTTGTAAAGTTACACAAGTGCTGAAACTAGCCGTGAAAAAAAAATTTCTTTAGACAATCACAAATGTTAAAATGAGTGATTAAAGGCAAAAGCTGTCTGCTGTGAAGTCCTGCAGACGTATCAGACTGCAGTGAATCTCAAAAATCCGAGACACAATCTGCAGTTTTGACTGAAGGCGGATGTTTCAGCTGCAGCACAAATCCCCTGACCTTCCAGCACTGATCACAGGATTTAAAAAAAGACATTAAAAAAAGACTTTGTCACATATAGGCCATTTTAATCTGCTCTGAACTGAGTATATTTGAAAGAATCTGGGATCTTATTTTTTAGTCTATAATCCCAAAATAGATGCACACACACACAAAAGTATTTTTGCTCTAAACTTCAAAAGGCTACTCCATGTGGGATGTTGAAAATGTAATACAGCAGTGTGTATTACTTCTTCATCCCCCAGCTTAAACTGGGTCTGGCTCTAAAGAAAAGTAGGACCCTGTGCAGCAAGAACACTGATCCGTCTGTAGTTTAAGAAAAATAAATCCTCAACTGACAGCTTGATTAAACGGTCATGGAAAGCAGAACTGTTCTGGTTCTTGAAGGGAGTGGCACTCACTGCAGTGGGAAATCCTGCTTTTTTCTGCATTTTTTGGCACTGAATAACACGGAAGGCCATAATCGGATAGTTGATAGTCCACCACTATATTTTCAGCTTTACAGTTTACACCTGTGCTAACACAATGAACATTAACATTATATTATACTACACAGCCACTCTCAGAACACAGCAGGGATGATTCGGAAAGCCACATCTACATGAGTTCACCAACACATTTCTGAGTTCCCTGAAACTTGTTTTCACAGTTCTGTATTCAGTCCTGTAAGAAAAAAAAACCTTTAAGTACACTGAAGGATTTAGTAGCTTCTAGAACCAGCTTTAGCAACAATAAGTGACTATCAGTCTCTCTCACATTGCTGTGGAGGAATTTTCACCCCACTCTTCTTTACAGCATTGCTTCAGTTTAAGTGATGTTTGCGATCATTCGTTGCGCATGAAAAGCTGACTGGGTCATTCTGCCACCCCTGAGATCATTGATGTGTTACATGGACCGAGCTTTAGCCAACAAACATTCGTCTCTAGAGCACTTTGGCATACAGGGGAGTTCATGGTGGAGTTGGTGACAGGTCCTGTACACCAACAGCAGGGATGAGGTATTTTTTGATGATTTGCTTTGTTTAGTTTTTGCCAAATGTGGCACTGTGCATTTTGACATCTTAACCTACTCGAGGCCTTAAGATTACCTGTGCAGCCTGCCCTGAGCCTCATACACCAACTCGTTCAGTCCAATTAAACGTGTTAATCTCCTGCATGATTATCAACTGAAAACAGAACGAGCCACAAACCTTTATTAGAAGTCATTTGCATTTATTTTCATATTAAACAGTGTAATTATAAACATTTCAATCACACTAAGCATGATCAATATGAAGTAAAAATATTTTTTTTAATTCTACAAGTTTAAAGGACAGAATGACTTCACGTCTGCTTGTTTGTCTTAATTTAACTGCTTGTAGCTGATGACTGTGATATGTTCCTCTGATTCAACTCAGTTTAAGTTACAAAATGAAACCTCATACCTAGAACTCAATTACATAATTTCCCATCATTTACAGACAAAAAGAAAAATTAACATTTATATACACATCAGTACAGTTCAACATTAAGTTACATTTCTCAAATGTGCAAGATTAAGCAAATGTATACTGTAGTGAAATAAAAGAAGATTTCCTTAAATAGATGTTCAAGTTTAACTGAAGCACAGGCTGCTGGTTTTAAACAGAGGATAACATTGTCTGGGATACAGTGTCGTCTGTATGGGGCAGGTGAGACGGACGTGTAGCTATTACGGGTGAAGTACAGCTTCTCATCTCATCATCAGCGACAAAATATTCAAGGTCAATTGAAAGGAAAGCCTTAACTGTATACCCTACAGTTTCAAATAAGAGATTTTAAAGCTTACATAAAAATGTCAGGAAAGATCTGTCTTCATCTATAACCATTTGCATTGCGCTTCTATACAGAAAGTGATCGCGACGAATGCACATCCCTGTACGTACGGCCCCGCAAATGATAAGACTCAGAGGCAGAAGCTGAACAGAAAGGGTCATTTAAGATGGAAATGCAATCTGAAATAGTGAAGTTTGACACAAAGCTGAAAAAAGAAAAAGGCAAACAACTCCGCCCACAACGCTCGGGTTTATAAAAGCAGCAGCATTGAGTTTCTTGTTGTTGTTGTCGTCGTTGTTCTAGTAGTGAGTTGCTGTGAAAGCTTAAAGTCCCTGCACACGCTCGTCAGCTTGTCCTACAAACTCTGATTCAAACCAATTTATGAAATTCATTGCACATTTGATTACAAACAGCTCATGACATTTTCTTCATCCTTACATTTAAAAATAGCTTCTTTTTTTTTTTTTAAAACATCATCCCACTAAACTTTTTGTAGCGATCATCAATCGAGGGGTGCAGCCTCTTTGTCTTTCAGCGTCATCAGGCACTGGAATGAGACCCAGCGACAAAGTAATCGACACAACCATCAAAGCGACTTCCTGCACATTCGCAAGGATAAAATAAAGCTTTACAAAATAAAAACAACAACAACAACTTGTTTTAAGTTATTCATCACAACTGTCTTACAGCTGGGTCGCCTCTTTAACGACTGACATGACAATCCCACAATTCTTACCGACATTTCTCCAAACTTCGACTCCGCTTACTATACATGTTCCTTTAAAACATAAAGGACAATACAGTGTGTCGCCTCTGTAGTGTAGTCTTCCAGTCATCCAATGCATGGATTGCACCTACAGCAGTTACAACCCGTTAATTCAAATGCTGCTACAGAAAGACAACACACATGGCTTCCCCTCCAAAAAGGAGACTGTGATTAAACTTAACAGGAAGTTTTTAAAATAAAAGGCAATCACGGAAATAATCACATGACATGAAGGAGCAAAGTGAACAAATTAAGCTGTCAGTTTTAGGTGTGTGTGAAATCAAAGAGCTTATTCTTGTTTGGCTGTAGTGATACGTTTACCAGCCCAGTGGGTTGATTTTCTTTAATTAAATAAATTTTTTTTTTTTTTTTTGGTGAAGCAAAAGTCCTAGAAAAGGAGTGCACTTACACACAACAAAAAGAAGCAGCCAAACACCTGGAATGCGCATGATGAGGCATTAAACCAAACATTTAGAAGCTACGTCAGTTAGTTTGTTTTCCCTCCCCAAAACATTTTAATTGCACTGAACTAAAAATCATACAAACACGCACACGCACGCACGCACACACACACACACACAGATGGAGCTGGAGAGGTGATGTGGCTCAGACTGGGACTGGGCCTCGTCCGTCTTATTTGCCTAATGTCCGTTTACAGCCTTTTGTTCTCATGGCCACGCCGCTGAGAATAGTTCTGCCTGAGAGAAGCATCTGCAGTTTGTCCCCACAAACTGCGTCGTCTGTTGTCCTTATTCGGCTGTTCTCCCAAAAAAAGAGCGAGTAGCTTCATTCCGCAGTAGTGTGAAGATAAACGGTCCCTTCATTTAGCACCCTAGTCTTTCTCTCCGTCCTCGCTGCTTCCTGGTGTGAACAAAGACAAGTTTAGTCATCTGGTAAAACCCCTGAAAACACAACCATTTTATTGTTCATGTAAACTCTGATGACAGTGGTGGACATCAAATTGAACATAATCTTAATATATTCAGACACTTGCATACATATAATAAAATTAGGAACGCAATGGAATCAGATTGGTTAGCTTAACTTAGAACCAAGACTGCAATTCAAGAATAGCTGGGCTCAGTAAGAATGCACACCTCCTAAGTTTGTGAATTTGATGCATGCACGTGGCACACTGTAGCTGTACAGTGTAGTGGTTTACAAACTGGTTTAATATGTGAAAGATCAGGAGAAGACTCAGGTTTGAGTGAGGAAGGTTTCATTAAAGTTTTGTATTTACTGCACAGACATGGACATTTTCTTCCTAAAATACTGAGCTATCCATTCAAGACTGTATACCAGTTTGGCCTGCTCTACTTGCCTCCTTGTTCAATATCAGAGTCGGTAAGATGGGTAAGAGAAAAGCTGGCAATGCTGGCCGGTGAGATGGAAAAACGGGAGTAGCTTGAAGAGCCGGTCCAGCTGGTATCCAGCATGGACCCCACTGCAGGGGCCGGAGAGGAAAACGATGCTGCAGATGAGGACCTTGCCTTGGATACCGTGTCTTTACCCGTCTTGGACAGGAAGGTGGGTGCGGGTGAGGAGAAGTCATCATCCCACTCAAAACCACCACCTGTAAAGATTTAGTCAGTGAATCAAGACATATACTTTGTGCAAATAGAGGCTTTTATTGCTGACTTGTGGCATTACCTTCTTCATCTGTTGAGCTCTCAGAGTTGGCAAAGCGGTTCAGGTAGCTGGCAGCAGGCGTGGAACTGCTGAACTGTGGTACCCGACTGTTTGAATCCAAGGAGTGGTCACCCAATTCCTTGGTGGGCGTCTCCTAAATCAGATTTAATTCAGTTAACACATATTACCAGCTGCCCCCGCAAAGTAAGAAAATGAAGATCACAGACTAAAATCTTACCTGGTCAAACAGGTAGACAGTGACATCATCAAAGAAAGACACGGCTCTTTTGGAGTTATCCGCACCAAACCTTGCAGGAAACGGGAAAGATGATGCTCCGATGTTCAGAGATGTGGGTTTTAACAAGCTCTTCAGGTTCTTCGCCCTACTGTCGTCCGAGATAA